TCTTTTGATTTCAGAAATGTGCCTGTTTTTTACTTAAATTACTTTGCTTGGAATATATGTTAAGGGAAAACTGTTATGCAATGAAAATTTAGAAAATGTTCAGAATTTTCATTTAAGTTAAATTATTTAAATATTAATATGAGTGGAAAAATAAATTGTATTTATTATTAGGTGCCAAACGAATACAATTAATATGGCTTATTATTATTTATTTTCTATATTTTCAACTGAAATATCATCATTAAATCTTGTAATATAGTTTAGTTCTGCATAGTTTCTTTTCCTCTCATTGTAAACTAATTCTGTAAATTGAACTGTCATTTAAAATTACAAAAAAAAAAAAAGTAAATTGTTTTCCATTGTTGAGGTAATGCTCATTCTCTTAATAAATATTGCATTGCTCATATTTTAAATTACAAGTCTAATTTTTCTTTTAAGTTTATGCAGTTGTGTATAATGTAATTAGACAGGTGCTTATTTTTTCCTTAAAATGTGTTTGAAAAGTGCTTATAGGTGCTTATTTTTTTTAACTAAAATGTGGCTATGAACCCTGTTAGAGAGAATCAGAGTTTCTGATTTGCAGGCGTCTGCCTTTTGGCTACTCTCTCTCAAAGCTGTCATTATGTTCGGCCATACTTAGGCCCTTGATAAGCTTCGTAGTCAAATAAAGTAAAGGGGCCAACTCAATTAGAACCTTGATAGCTTTGGCTATATCTCTTTAGTTAATCTTAGTTTTAGCTTATTTTTTAGTCTCTTAAATTCAAACCCAAGTGTCGGCTTTTATGTGCACTCCATGATGGAGTTTTGTTAAATCTTACTGGAATAATGAAGGGTTAGTTACCCTTCCATCTTGTTGTTTCTTGTTACACAAACTTAAGCGATTATTCGCTAACTAGTCCTTAAGGTTACTCACTTTTGACTGCAATTACACAGTGATAAACCTCAGTTGATTCATTTCTTAACAAAAAAGGAATGTTAAATCTTATCTTGAATTATCTCGCAGATTATTAATCTTACTATTTTATTCCAAAGGTAGCAAGACTTTTACATTACCATATTCTTTAGTCATTGGAAAATAGGCTGATAACACTATATTCAAATCACAAACAGTATATAAAACTTTCAGTATTAAATATTCCCGGTCTGATGTCCAATATAAATACATATATATATATATATAATTTACTTCATGAGAGAAAGTTGATCATACTTATAATGCTAATATAAAAGCCAGTACTTTCAACAGTTTACAAATAATTTTTTATTCAAACAAACAATAATAATAATAATTTTACAAAACAAACAATAATAATAATTTATTCAAACAAACAATAATAATAACAATAATAATTTTTATTCAAACCCGCAATTCATCAGTGGTTCTTTTACACTTCTGCATTGTAAACAAAACTAACATTCTTTTCTAAGAAGATAAACACCCTCTAACGGCGATACAAAAATCGTTTGCAATATTTTTCAACAGCTTTGCTGCAGATGATGAGATGAAAGAAGCAGTTGAAGATTGGTTATCCTCGCAGACAGTAGACGTCCATGACTTAGGAATTCAAAAGTCTGTAGAAAAATAGAGAAACATTAAATGAATTAAATCAAGAAAGTTTTTTGAAGAAATCTGTGATGATTTATAACAAATCAAACCTTACTTTCCGAACAACCTACGTATTTTGTTTTTCTATCATCCGAGAGATTAATTACCCTTAACCAGCCATCTTCATTTCAACCATATTTTCATTATAAATTTTGACAGCTGCTACTTCAAAGCTTAAAAATGTTAAATTCTTTTTATTGGGGGGGGAAGGGTTCATTAAATATGGAAAATTAAAAGCAGCAGTTTTGTCATATTTTGCTTTATTACTAAAAATGTAAAAATTGTTCAAGCAAGGTAACAAATTTTGAGACGTGTGAGGAGAAGATGGATTGACAGAATACCAGTGCCAAACTTGGTTCATAAAATTGCATTCTGGCAATTTCGATTATGAAAATGTACTATGTTCTAGAAAGTAAGTTGATGTTGAAAATAGTATCTGGTTGTAATGAAAGTTTTCTACCAAAATAAGTTTTAAAAAAGATCAAAGCAGTATCTTTAACGCGGGTAGTGATCACCACCTGTATCTATGATTTTCTGCCAAAGTTTTGGTAGTTTTTCAAATCCTTTCAGCTCAGAAACTTGGTGGCTCTGTGTCCAAAAACGGATTAACCTCATTTCGGACGTCAAAAAGGTAGAAGTCCGAAGGTGCGATGTCAGGACTATATGGTGGATGTGGTTAAAGATCCCATTCAAGTTCATAAGAGTCCAGCAGGTGAATGCAGACACATGTGGTCTTGCATTATCTTCATGGAACATTACCTTTTTGTACTGGAACTCAGTTCGACATTTTTCCTTGATAACAGCGTCAGCACGGACTAGCATCTCACTGTACGCCGTACTGTTGAGGGTTTTACCATTTTCCAGATACTCTTTTTGAATAATACTATGGAAATTCTAGCAGATACGAAGCATGATCTTTTTGTTAGTGAAATTGCACTTTGCTGCACTGCCAACTGGATCACTGGGTGCAGACCAACCCCCTTTTCAGCCTGATTTGTTGAAGTAAATCCATTTTTCATCACAAGTGACTATCCGATCCAGAATTTTATCCTTATGTTGATATTCAAGCAGATTAGTGCAAGACTGAACACGTCTGTCCTTTTCTGCTTGAGTCAGCTCATGCGGCACCCAGTGATTGAACTTGTACGGGAAGTTTATGCGATGCATAACACAACTAATGGACATGGCGCTAACATCTAACTCCTTAGCAAGCTCTCGAGTGGTTGCATACTGATCTTCCACAAGTTCTCACAGGCGACACTCATCAACATGTGTAAGCTGGCCTTAGCACTCTGCTTCTTAAATGTCGTAGTCCTTGTTTTTGAACTTTCGGTACCAAACCTTCACAGTGTCATATGATGCAAAATTAGTACCTAAAGCTTTACACGTGATTTGGTGACATTCCGTAGCTGACTTTTTGCAACAGAACTGAAAGTAATTGATGGTTCTAATCTAGTAGTATTATAGTTCCAATTTCAGACACTTAATGATAATGCTATCTTTTTACAAATTTCACAACACTGTCTTCTAAAGCAAGTCTCTTTCAAATGCCAAAAAGTATTTGGCAAAATATGACTAAACATCTAACATCGAATCTTTCAGTTGTTAAATCCATTTTAGAATGTCCTTTGAAAAAGGGAAATCAGGAAATTAATCTGTTCTTTCAAATACAGTCAAAAGTCTTTAATCCTGAATGATCTATAATCCGGACCTCAAAGCTACAAACTTTCAGCGCATGTGTAGATGCATTATGCGTTTACGCATTCGCATTATACCTTCACGCATGCATGTTCCTTAATCTTCTACTTGGATTCTGCTTATTATTTTTAGCAGACTGTTAGAGCAATTTTATAAAAGTAAGCTTGAACTTTCGATTATGTCAAAAAAAAATTCCGATTCTAGAGCTGCCAAAGGATCTACAAAGCAAAAGCATGTTTCGATGCCCATCAAACAAAAAGTAGAATTGCTGCAAAAAAAATGGATAAAGGCATATCCTTTGTTTCTCTAACCATTCCGATAATCTGTTTATCAATTTCACGCTGCTCTGCGGGGAAGGGGGGACGTCGGGGCACGCAATTAACTGGAAGTTGATTTTTCAGCATCATCCTCATCTTCAGTGCAGATGTTTTTATTTTATTCATTTTATAATTCCTTACTAAATGTAGTATTTCATCTCGATGTACTCCGTCTCTGATATGATTTAAATCAAATTCTCCGTCATTATAAATATCACAAATACACATCAAATAGTTTTCTGGTTGCAGTTTTCTAATTTCGACTATATGTAATGTATGCTTTACGCATGCACGCGTTGAAAGAAATGTTTAATAAAGTAAACAAATATTAAGCTTTTTTTGTAAATTTTGATACCCTTTAGATCATAATTGCTCTTTATTTCATAAATTATGGTTTCATATTTTTAATTTTATAATTTCTGCATGCCATCTTACCAGTTTAAATTGATTATCTATAATCCGGAAAAACCGATAATCCGGATTCGCCAAAGTCCCGACGAGCTCGGATTAAAGACTTTTGACTGTATTGTGAGCATGTGCAAATTTTGTTTTTATAAATTTTTATAACATTAAAATGCAGAAGCCTGTTCAATTTCCCTTTAAAGAATCTTTTTACATAATATAATAAAAATGTTAGTCTGAAACACAGTATATTAATCCAGAAAAGTGAGCACATTTTCAATATTTTTGCAGCAGCATTTCCCTGACATTTTAGAAAATCTATCCATTTCCCCAATCCTTTTTATGAATAGAACTTTTTCATAATTAAAATTTAATCCAGCGAACAGGCTGGCGGCATGGGTATTTTCGTGGTTTTCCCCTTGTGTAACGTGTTTACGAGCTAGTTTCCCTTAGAAAGTCCTCCACGAAGACATCCCTCCCTTTAGGCAGATAGCCCTTGAGGCTTTGCCGTAATTAAATAACCTAACCTAACCCTAATTAAAATTTCTTCTCTTGCATTTTTATTACATTCTACTTAATTGTATTATCTGTTTGTTAAAATGCTGTAGTATTGTAATTAATAATTAATATTTATCTGATGGTAATGCTGTTGTAGTTTTCAAGTGCTAGTAACAGTAATTAAACCAGATATCTAATTTTTATCATATTTTTTTTTAATATTGCTGAACACATTAATGGACAGATGCATACTTTTTTGAAAACAGAAAAAAGTTACATCACCTTTTATATACACAGGCGAAAATTTTATCAGTTGCTTATTCCAACTGTCTTTCTACCTCAGCCACATGACTTTTGAGTACTTTTTTCTTTTTATAAATAACTTTTAAATTTGTACAAAAAGTATTAAATATTTCTAAGTTAAGTTTTATATGTGAAATACACTCTTTTTCCCCTTTCTTTTTGTGTTCCCTAATTAGCTGTTGGCTGTTATATTTGCACGTAAAATACTTGGATGCTTTTTCAATAAAACTCACTTAAAGTTATTGGATGATGACATGCCAGAAACTACAAAATTTAAAAAAGAAGATACATCTGCTACTGATCAGGTAAAAGTTTATATTCTGTTTATTTTTCACAAAACTGTCTTTCTTTAATGTCTGCATTAAATCTTATACACGAAACATTCATTAGCATCTATGTTATAAAGGCTATAGTAGATTCCAAAATACAGTATCATGTAATTATTTAAAAAGAAACATGAACTTTAAGATATATTCAGCTTGAATTTGTTTCTAACAGAGGCATGTAAAAAATTACATTATACGAGGGTTGGAACTTTAATAGTGGCAACACAGCTGCAAAAACGCTACGCAACAAAACCAAAGAATATCGCGTATACCACACGTAAACTACATACTTACCTTACCTCTCAGCAAAAAGACTCGTCCTGCCTACGTTACGCGCATGCAGAGTGGCGCGAAGAAGCGATCCTTGTATTAGCTCGCGGTCTAAAGTAAGTGTTGTCACCATGTTTTCAAAACAAGAACAACGATGTTGGATAAAAATTGAATGTGCCAGAGGTCGTACAGCATGACAGTGTCATCAAGGGCTTCAAGAGGCTTGCTGGGAATCTGCATTGCCTTACAGAACCGTAGTAAGATGGGTGAAAGCATTCAATGAAGGACGCCAAAACGTGGCAAACATGCTGCGGCCAGGTCATCCGAGTGTCAGCGATGCAGACGTGCAAGCTGTTGCCGCACTAATGGACAGTGATCGCCGCCAAACAATTCATCAGCTGGCCGGACAAACAGGATTAGTGCATACGACTGTGCTGCACATTCTGAAGGAACGCCTGTCCACAAGAAAAATTGCTTCACGATGGGTTCCACATTAATTGACGGAAATGCACAATAGGATGTTGCCCGAACCCACCTGGAGCGCTATGAGCGCGAAGGAGATGCTTTTTTACGCTGTATCATTACGCTGGATGAGACTTGGGCCTGATCGTACCAGCCAGAACTGAAATGCCAATTGAACGAATGGCTTCATCACGGGTCACCACGACGTTCGAAATTTCGTCAGAACCCCAGCAATGTAAATGTTATGGTGATTCTCGTGTACGACTGTGATGGTGTCATCCTAACGCATACCGTTCCCCCACAGCAGACCGTCACTGTGCAGTATTACTGCTCATTTTTGGAGCACAATCTCCGACAAGCTTTGAGAAAAAAACGGCGACACTTTCTGCAGAACGCTCCTCTCATTTTGCATGACAATGCTCGGCCGCATGCAGCGCAAGCTGTGACTGATTTGTTCAAGCAATGGGGCTGGGAAGTGCTTTACCATCCACCATACTCCCCAGATCTAAGCCCTTGTGACTATGACTTAATTCCTAAGATGTAGGAACCGCTTCGTGGCACTCACTTCCAAACTGTTCCTGAGATTCTTGTGGCAGTAGACCGATGCATTCAAACTATCAACAAACAGGCGCTGCTACAGGTATTCTGCGACTTCCACATCATTGGAAACGGGTTGTACACAATGCTGGCGACTATATTGAAGGACTGTAAAACATGGTGACATGAATCACTTTTGTATTCCTTGTAAATAAATAGTTGCCACTATTAAAGTTCCAGCCCTCGTATGATTTTATAATATCATGCCTTGATTTTCATTGACCTACTGCAAACTTTTCATGATTTTGTTGTTGTTGTTGTTGTCCAGAGCGGCAATTTGCCCTGAAGGACTATTAATTTCGTTTAGGCATTTTGCGTTGAAAACTTTAAAAGGCTGTATCAGTATAGAGTATGTAGCTCTATTGTTTTTTTACTTCCTTGTACAAAGTAAAAAGGAAGTATTGTAATCGAGAAAAGCTTCAGGCAGCATATTTCAATGAAAATATCCACTTTGACCGTTTTCGAATGCAATTTAACGATGTTTCTGCGGTGACATCTGTAACGTAAGGGACAAGAATAAAGGACTCTTTTTCCTCCAAAAAAAACTAAAAAACTGATTTAAAATGTTTTTCGGAAAGAGAATGTTTTCGTGGCGTCTGTATGAACGTATGTACGTGCGTGCGTACGTACGTATCTCGCATAACTCAAAAAAGACCAGCCTGAGAATGTTGAAATTTTGTATATAAGACTACTATAACATGTAGATGTGCACCTCGTATTTTGGTTTCAATCGGCCGCGCCAAATGTATAAAAATATATTTATAAATATATCCACCGTGTTACCCGGCTTAGTGATCTCAGTTTCTTTACTCTTACAGGGGTGTTTGTGCTCCGGGGAAACCCCGGAATTCCGGGGATTTTGAACTTTGATACCCGGAAATTCCGGGGATCGTCATTCAAAAGGAAGTAGGAATAATAATGAATTATTTATTTTGATCTGGGTAATTTTGTTTGCTTTGAAAGCAGAAAATGCAAGGTCAGTGTGTGTGGTGAAAACTTTTCCTTTCTTTCTCCAAAGGCAGTGATAATGCGTGAAAAGGGGGGAAAAACTTCTTTTTTGTTCTTTCCTTATTGCGAGTTATGACTCATTCTCCCGGTTCTCGGACATTCTCTTCTGGATTCTTTTCGGCAAGTAGGCGTGCCAGAAAAAAAAGGGAGAGGCTTCGTTCGACCAGATGTGCGATCACGTGACTCTGGGTTCAAAGGTCCTATCTCTCCTGGCGGGGCGTTAATAAGTAGAGAAGGGGGATTTTTTGCCGTATTAGCTATTTGTCATTGATCGCTTCTCAACTTTTTTTTCTCCGCTGTGTAAAATTTTCGTTTCATTTATTGATGCACGTGTACATTTTTCGTTTTGTTTATTGAAATATTTTTTTATTTATGTACGCAAGAGAATTTCACTATGAAATTTCTCGATATAAATAGTGATATTATACAATTAGAAGAAGGTGTCCAGAATGCATTTAAGTGGAATTGGATTAAACGGAGAGATAGTAATGGGGATACCTTTGGCACATGGTGCAAGAAAATAAATGTTGCTGGATAAGCATATTCTGTTTTTTTTAACTCACTTAAGTATGGTGGGGAAGGATTCAAGGCTTTCACAAATCATTCTAAAACTGTGACGCACATAAAATATTCAAAGTGCATTAGACATTCAATGACTTTAAGTAATTATGCTAATTCAAAAAATACTGATGACTTACTGGAGACTGATGCTCGGCCATTGGATATAGTGACAAGAAAAGCACGCCAAGAGGTATTAATAACTTCGTTATCGCTGAGAATTCTCTTTCCTTCAATGTAGCTCCCAATTTAATTGAACTCTGCAGACAGTTGAGCCGCGATCAGACAGCACTAAACTCATTGGAAATGTCCAGGACTACTGCATGTTATAAGATGAAATATGGGCTCGCAAAAACTATTAAGGAAAATATCATGAAAACTTTAAAGGAGACTCCATTTTCTCTAAATTTGGATGAAAGTACTAGCAATGCTCAAGGAAGTATACTGGCAATATTGGTGCAGTTTTATGACAACAATCAAAATGAAGTTGTAGTTAATCATTTTGCATCTCTAAAGATGGAATCTTGCAATTCAGAAGCTGTTTTTAAAGCAGTTGTTAATACTATTGAAGATAATAATATTCCATGGGCAAACTTAATTAGTGTATTAATGGACTCATGTAACACCATGCGTGGAAAAAAAAAAAGGGTGTTGAATCCAGACTACGATCAAACAAAGCACCCCACTTATTAGATATTGATGGTGACACATGTCACACAGCTAATAACTGTGCAAAAAAATTTGCTTCATGTTTTGATAGATACTTAAAAGATTTGTTTGATGACATCTATTTTGATATGAAAAGCTGCAGTAAAAGAGAAAATGTTTTCAAAATCTGTGAATCCCTTGCCATTAAAAACTTAAGCCCTTGAAGAGACCAGACCATAGGTGGGTGTACATTTTATGTGTTTTAGAAAGAATCAAAGATCTATGGGATGCTCTTATTGCATTTTATTTTCACTACTTGGATAAAACTGATAAAGGAGATTATTTTTCTTATGTTGAAACTGTATACAATAAAAGAAATATTTCTGCAGCTCAGAAAAAAATTGTTGAAGGGGTGTATTCTTGCTTGCATTCCCAACAACTCACAAAGGATGCTTTAGCTCGGAAAAAAAGAATACTAAAGTGGGTTATTTGTTATGCAAAACAAAACTTTATTGCATATGGCATTATATTCAGCAGTATTACCAGAGTTCAACACATATATTAAATTATTTGAAACAAAAAAAACCAATGCTTCATTTAATACATTCCAGTATTTATAAATTGATGGCAAAATTTTTCTCTTTTTTTATGAAGCCAGAAAATAAAGTATATAGAGTGCACATCTTATAATGATTTATTAAAGGTTGATGTCACAAATCCAGAATTCCATCTACCTAGCAAAGTAATATTTACTGGTGCAGAAGCTTCCACTCTCCTGAAGAAATTATCAAAAAATCATCCAATAGCAAAAGAATTCCAAATTTCTCTGATGAAAGCTTATACTAATACAGCACAGCATATGAAACAGAAATTACCCCTTAAAAATTCATATCTAATTAGTTTTACAGCATTAGATCCAGAGCTAAGAGGTAAAACCAGTACAATATTAGCTTTTGAAAAATTATCATCTTTTATGTCCCATATTTTTAGTGATAATGAAAAGTCAAAAGTAGAAGCTGAAATAAGGTTATTACCAGAGTGATATTGATATCACCAAAGAAATGCTCTACACATCTGATGAAAGTGGAAATCAAGTCAAGTGTACAATTGATAAATATTGGTCTAAAGTTTTTAATTTAAAAGATGATTTCAAAAATTATTATAAGTATCCTACATTGGCTAAATTGGTCAAAGCCTGCCTTAGCTGCTTCCATGGCCCATTAGTGGAAAGTGCATTCAACTTAATGGATACACTTGTCACTGACTGTAGAACCTCTCTTAAGATTGATTCCTTAGATGCAGTGCAGACTATTAAATATGATTTAATGGCTTCTAAAGAAACCTCATGTGAAAATTATGGCTCAAAAAATCCAGTGACTAATCCAATTCACAAAGATCTCTTATTGAATATGAACAGAAGTTGGAAAACATATCAA